CCATTTTAAAGATTCCCGCTTTTAAAGATTCCCCGTTCCCCGTTCCTCGTTCCCCATTCCCATTCTCCGATTCTCCGACTCTCCGATTCCCCGATTCTCCGATTCCTCGATTCCCCGTTCCCCGATTCCCCGTTCCCCGATTCCTCCATTCCGCGTTCCTCGATTCCCCGTTCCCCGTTTTAAAGATAGCCTATCTTCGATACATACAATTTTAGATAGACAAGTGGGTCGCACACGCGATATGACAAGTATATGGTTAAAACAACAAATTAATTTCCGGTGAATTAGCTTTGCCAAATATCTTTAAAGATAATAAAGTGTTGATTTCAGAAAGAGGAACTTTTCCTTTGCTGCTTGTAGGATCAGCAGAGTACTTTTTATTTCAGCTTTTAAACTAAGATTTGGGGGTGTATAATACACTGCTACAGAAATTCCTTTATTATGTATTGGAAAATTTAGTTATTAATCTTTGTTTTGGATTGCTACATTTCGCTGACTCCTAGCACATGGACTAACACGATGGACCTGGTACATGAACTACTTGAATGAACTACCAATGGACTACCCTAAATGTAAACCCCTGAAATATTTAGCACAAAAGTTCTGCAGTTTAGTTTAAGAATCATTTTGTCTGCTTATGTTCCCATCTTCTAGGAACAATTTTCAAAAGTGATCGCTTCTGCATGCATTGCGTGCCGTTTATTAAAATTCTGGTTAACTAGCTCTACTACTTTGGTATTTGAGAAATGTTTCATCTAACCGTAACCCTAACCCTAAACCCTCACTGAGCTCAACCATGACAGTTGTGTGCCAAATGTTTTTAGGTGACCAGGTTTCTTTTCACCAGGTGGTGTCCTGTACAAGCTAGGCAGTCTTAGGAATATTCCAACCTGATCCATTCTTAGTACGTGGCCCAGCCATCGGATCCGTCTGCAACATGCACGTGCGTTCAATAGAGAACTCTTTAAAGCTGTCTTGCTATATCGCCAACAATATTATCTTGCATAAAGTGTTGTATCTTTCGCGTTGTTTTTTCGATTAGGGTCTGATTGAGTCCACTTGTGGTATAGTGTACAGGTACCTTCCTGGGGACTCCTGCTTTCTTGTAATTATGATTTAAATGACTAACTGGCGTTCCCACACTTGTTCGTGGAGCGTGTGGTTCTAATGCTGACAATCTGGCAAAAGGCCAATGCATGTGTAATTGTGGGAAGCTTTATAAAAGGCATTTAATGCCACCCGCGCACTTATCGTGTTGCTAGACTGTGGACCGAAACTCATACTCGCTTGAGCAGGTAAGGGAGTACTCAGTTGTCAGATATATTAATTTAGTTAAGCTGCATTGTGATCTCTTATACCAACAGAAGCTTTTAATGACGAATACAAGGAAGAGTATATCTCTGCTTTAACTGAATTTTTTCTCACGAGGACTTTAATAAGTGAGACTAGATCAAACTGAAATCCAGTTAAGACTGAGTGAGGGTTGTCCAATACTCACCTCTTGTTTCAAGTTGTCAACTGGTTCAAGATCTTCAAGTAGTACCATTCGCGCGAGTCGTAAGGATTTATGATTAAGATTACTCGGATCATGGTGCATCAAAGGAACCGATAAATTCACTCTCATCCTAATCCGGATTTTCTCAAAAGAATCACCCTATATATATTATTTATGCAAATTTTAAAGGAGCCTCCATCTATTCATTTACAACGTCATCCGTAACCGGCCAACAACGCGAATATTTGTTCTCCTCTTTGTTTTAGCCTTAAAAAATAAAACATTTTGAGAGAAATCGGAGTTGGAACTTCTTTGATATCAAGGGTAAATTTTCCATTTCGAATTTTTTGTTTTATATTTTGTTTTATATTAAAAATATAAAAAAATGCAACAGTTTAGTGGAAACGTGCTTCAAGAGTGAGAAGGTGATTCTAATGAAATAGGAAATTATATTGAACTGTCACGTCCTGATGACGTAAAATCAAATAAATATTCGGGTTAAATGAAGAAAGCTTTTAATAATGATTTGAATTCTGTGAGTAATTATCGGTGCGATATTTTGCGCTAGAAGAAAGTAGCCTTCTTTGTGTGTCAGCGAGCCATTCCAGGATATTTTGACTTGGAAACGTCATGCAAAAGGGGTATAAAACGTCAACTTGAAGGGAGAAATTTTTCTGAACCCAATGTAAGTAAATAAAATGACACTCACCAAATTTAAATTCATATTGTCTTCCGCACGCCAAATATATATTTTTACCCGCTTTGTTTTGTATTTGCAGAGTTATTGGATAGAACCCTTGGTAAAGCCGACTTAACCCAACACAACATGAAATTCGTCAGCAATAAACTGATGTCCAAATTTCTTGGATGTATGGTTTTATGGCAAATTCAGGTTTTTAACGAAGTCGTAGGTAGGTGCTAATCTAATCTTCAAATATATTACACTGCATTAATTTTTAGGATTCATGTCATCAAACTATGCTGTAGCACCAGGCTTTCGAAGTGTCCTTATACATAACACGAGGTGTTCGTATTAAGTTTGTTAATTTGAGCGAAAAGGCGTCACAAGTTCGTAGCCGAAAGAATAGGTTGTAGTAAGTGATGTAACTGAGGCGGGATACAATTAAAGCCGTCACCGATAAACAATGTGATGCAAATTTTCGCGAAAACTTTTAGTTTTAACCCCGAGCGTTAAGACCATTTTTTCAGGTCAGGTCTCACTTACAAACGGAGCAGTCTCAATTAAATCTGTCCGTGGTATTTAAATTGGAAAATCAAGCAGTTTTATAACTGACACAAATATTATGTTTCATTACTGACAGGAATAAGGCAGCTGACATGATGTTGGTGCTCACATTACGAATGTGATTAGCAGTGACAATTACAGGAAGATGTTTCAGCAAAATTTCCTTTCTTTTCGGTTATTCCAAGAACCAATATCAAGTACCTTCAAATTTCATTAGTACTTTCAAAAGAGGAAGTTTTCACTGCAATAATTAGTGGTATATCTGATTCCACTGTCCCTATGATAGCCAAACGGAAAGTAATATTTTGTTATCAAATAGTCGGTTCTCTCTTCCATTAGATCTCTTCGCACGCACTCTCCATCTGATATTCGGCATGGTTTTCCGCTCTAAGATCTTCACCTTTATTTAAAGCACTCATTACTCCCATCCAGTTGTTCTCGTTACCTCTACTGCGTAAAAGTCACCAAGCGCATTTGTGACAACCTACACGGATTATTATTGTCAGACTTGTTACTCGGAGTATTGTTAATGTCATACTAAATTACAGAGTAAGAGATCATTCAAAACCATTCCATTTTTTACCAAAACTTCAACAACTGCAAAAAATGAGTGACAATGATTACTATATCTTAAGGAGTTAGAATTTCAAGGAGAAATAATTAGCTTTTGGTACGTACCACTTTGACCGACTTATAGCCGTTGGATTTTTAGAAACGCCATTCACCATGTTTCAAGATGGTGCATTTGAGAACACGAGGAAAATGTAGAAAATACTCGCCTGCGGCTCATGTTTTCGTCTCGGTGAATATTCACCAATGTTCACCTCGCCTTCGGCGATTAATTGTTAAAAATAATGTTCACGACTCTGAAACTACATTGAACACTGATGCGAGACAAATTTTAAAAGCGCGTGCATGATCGGAGATCTAACGTTTTCTGTTACAGTTCTGTTTTAATCATAGTTGCCCAACAATTGCCATATAATAAGTAGCTACCAATATCTCTCTCTACCAATATCTTGTGATTGGTCAATTTAGCGCAGGGTGCTAAAGTTTTGAAGTTGTTTTTGCCACCAAAATGTGTCACGTTCTATCGCCAAGTTTTCCTAGCATCATTGGCAAATGAATCATATAAACTTATTCGTTTCATTAAAATTTTGATGACGTCACGCAATAAGACGTGCAACGATTTCGATTTGACTCGTTTTGCTTTTGAAGTTCGTCATTCATTAAGATCATTCCTCAGAATTGCATTCGGCATGCCTATTGCGCACGATTTTCGCGTCATTAGCGTGCGCTCACGAGCGTGCACACGTACAAAACATAAACAAGTGGTGGCTTTTTCTAAACGGCTTGGCTTGCGAGAGACAAATCATCGTTTTTTCCTCGGAAACGAGTACCGGGACCTAACGATTATTTTTAATTAATTTGAATGCAGAGATCACCTTCTTTGTATACAGTGAATATAGGCCAATTTCTATTGCAGAGTAAAAAATTTTCACGGAAAATGAGAGCGTGGCTAGCACTCGTAAAAGATTATATGTGGCCCCAGAACACTCCGTGCTTGGAACATATTGTATCCCTGTCGACTAAATACGAGTGCCTTTATAATGAAACGTACATCAAATTGCTCCTTAACATTGATGCCGTACATCCATTGTTGTATTTCTCGCTTAACGTTTTCCCTATTTTTCTGCTCTCTTAAAGCGTAAGGTAAATGGTTCAAATATAAACGTTTCTCAAAGCAGATAATTTCAGGAATTGTGGGGTTTATTAAAGGTCCTCCTGCTCCTAAACGAAATACGGGACCCCCCTTTATTATTTCAAATTTTAAGTTCTCTTGATATAAGCAGCCAATAGGTAAAGTTTGAAAGAAAATTTATTGTGAGTTCTATTTCGATGGATGTACCTTAAAAGCCTTTCCGTGTGTTTTGAAATGGTTTCACCAACCTGACAGACACACTACACATCTTACTAACTCTTCTTCTCGGTCCGTAATGTAAGTTATATTACGGATCTTCTTGTATTCCGTTTATTCCAAGAGATTATCAAGGTACTTGCCTTGATAATCTCTTGTTTTTTTCTGAACTGACTGAAAGGGCGTCTTAAATTGTTGATTAACATTCTTCTGTATGCTAATGATTATTGAGTGCAGACTGTCAAATTTAAAATTGTGCTCGCAGATGGCACCGATTTTCAATTAATTTTCCTGTCCCCTCACTAAAAGGACTTGATCTTGTCTAGATATCTATCTTCAATAGCTTCCACGTAGTGCACTTTTTTAAATTTGTTATTCTCAGCAATAATGCTGGTATCATGTAATTTGGGCTTTGTCGATTTTGTCGGACACAAATCTCCCGGCACAAGCTGGGCTGATTAATATAAAAAAACGCTATTGACTATCAAAACGACATACAGCGCTGCAAGTATGTCTTCTGAGTATTAAAGAAGAAATTAGGTGAGAACATAACTTAAGGGGACAGAGGTTATTACGATTGATGAGGAGTAATACCGTAAACTGCCGCTTGTAAGCCTCGAGCTTACAGGCCCCCCGGTTATAGGCCCGTCTACCTGTAAACAAAATATTTCTTCCGATTATAAGCCCCCCCGGATATAAGCCCTACTAGTTTACAAAATGACATCGACTTATTACGATGTTTTAAAGGTAAATTAAAAATCAGTATATGAAAAACGTATTTCAATAGACCCTGCTGTAGCTCTTTTATTCCGCTCTTACGCTCCACCGGATATAAGCCCATTTAAAAGCCCTTACGAAGTTGTATAAGCCCCGGGCTTACAAGCCGCAGTTTACGGTGGCAGTATTTATTTCTAGAGACAGAAGGAGAAGCCTTATCTGTTAGTAACTGTTGCACAGTTGCTTTTAACTTTTTTCTTTCATTTCGGAGATATTAGCAGTAATGCTACTCTGAAAACTGTATGAGTTGAAATTGAGGCCATGTATTTATAGTTACGAACGTCTTCTTCTAAGAAAGAAAGATCAACGCAGTTCTGCAGCTTTAGCTAGATGTAAATGTGCACTTGGCGATTAATCAAACAAGCGTTGGTAATATTTTGAATTTTAGGTAATCCTGGCATTCAGCAACTTAAAATGGATGGAGATATTATTCTGGGCGGTCTATTTCCAGTTCACAGGAAAAGTAAATATACCGAGAATGCATGTGGTGAAATAGACCCACAGCCGGGATTTCAATATTTGGCCGCCATGTTGTTTGCTCTTCAAAAAATCAATAACAGCACCAGCTTACTTCAGAACATCACTCTCGGAGCGGAGATCTACGACACCTGCCAAAGCCAGACGATAGGAGCCGACCGCGCTAAAGACATAATTAAATACACGCTGCTGGATAACGAGAAATCGCTTGTCGGAGTCGTTGGTCCTTTTACGAGCGATGTGTCCATTGCAGTGGCGACACTTTTGCGAGTTTTCCAAATTCCTCAAATAAGCTACGGCTCGTCAAGTGCCGATCTGTCTAACAAGGAGCTTTATGAGAACTTTTTCAGAACTGTGCCACCGGATTCATTTCAAGCTCAGGCTCTTGTAGATGTCATTCGGCATTATGGCTGGACATATGTTTTCACGATAAACTCATTTGGCAATTATGGCAAAAAAGGCATAAAGTTATTTCACAGCATGGCTCGAGACGCTGGTATATGCATCGCAAAATCGGCTAGTCTTCCTAGTCTGCCTAGTCTGCCAACCTACAACAACTACAGGTCTGCTCTCAAAACAGTAACGGGTCATAGTTTAGGCGGCAACGCCCATGTTATTGTGCTATTTACAAGCCAGACTGACTCGGCTGGTTTGCTCCGCGCAGCTAAGGGATCTAATGTGAAGGTTCTTACATGGCTTGGAAGCAGTGGCTGGAGCAATCGCGTTGACGTCACTGAAGGTAGAGAAGAAATCGCTAACGGCTCTCTGACCGTGGGTCACCATGAAGGAATCGTACATGGCTTCTTGGATTTTTTAATAAATCTTGATAGAACTCTGGAAGGTACTACCTTAAGAAATTCCAGAAATTCCTGGTTTGACGAGGTTTTGCAGTCTGTGTTAAAGTGTACAACACCAAGATCAGCACGTTTTTCAAATCAAGGTTGCAAGAACAAGACATCGCTACCACGTGACATAGAACTTGCGCCTGTTCGCGTTGTTGTCAACGCGGTTTATGCCATGGCGCACGCCCTTAACGACATGCAAAGGGATCTTTGCCCGGCAGCGCAGACTGGAATTTGCGAGGAAATGAAAAAGGGACTCAAGGCAGCAAGTCTCATAGATTACTTGAAGAATGTCACCTTTCCTGATGCAGCTTTTAACTCTAGTCTAACGTTCAACGAAAACCAAGAAATAGATGGTTCTTATAGCATCATGAACTTTCAACAAGGAACAAATGGTGAATGGACATATGTTAATATCGGTTCCTGGAGGTCTCTTCAAAATTCAAGCGAAGGACAATGGGGTGAATTAATTATTAACGACTCTTTGGTTTCGTGGGGAAACGCGAAAATACGTCCGCCGCAGTCATACTGCAGTGTACCATGTGGCTTAAGACAAATAAGAAAACCGCGCATAGTTAATCCACAATGCTGTTGGGTTTGTGACCGCTGTAAGTCTACGGAAGTGATTGTGAACAACACTTGCCAGACGTGTGCTGTTGGTTACATTCCCAACGCAAGGTTTCAGAAATGTTTAAAGCTTGATCTTACTTATCCCAAATGGAATGAGCCAATATCATATTCATTGGCGGCAGTTGCTACAGTCGGGATGGCCGTTGCCATAGGAACATTTGTTTTCTACGTCATTAATCGCAATCACAGTGTCATCAAAGCAGCTGGTAGAGAGCTTTCTCTTATCATATTCATTGGGATCCTCCTCTGTTTTGTGGCGTCTTTCATCTGTTTGGCTAAGCCAACTGATTTAGTATGCACTTTCCGTCGTTACATGGGAGCTTTATGCTTTACAATGTGTTACGCTCCGTTACTGATGAAAACAAATCGTATCTATCGTATCTTTACCCACGCTAAACACTCGGCCGCAAGACCACCTCTAATAAAACCCATGTCTCAGGTCCTTATTTCCACGGGGCTTATTGCAGTGCAGCTTCTTATAACCACCGTGTGGACACTCTCAGACACACCCAAGGCCATCGCAGAGTACCCGTCCCCAGAAACAGCTTCTCTGGTTTGTACCGTTAGTGCACATAGCTTTGCTGTTAACATGTGCTACAATCTACTGCTCATGTTCCTCTGTACTGTTTTTGCCTTCAAAACGCGCAGTTTTCCCAGGAATTTTAACGAAGCAAAACATATTGGTATCACCATGTACATAACCTGTTCTTTGTGGATCATATTTTTACCAACTTACTTTAACAGTAAAACCTCCAGTTGGAATGAGTATATGTATTGTTCTATTTTTATCCTCGTCGGCATTGTTAGTCTTGTAGGCTTGTTGCTCCCTAAGGTCGCCATTATTGTTTTAACTAACATTTCTAGAGAAACAGTCCACTGTTATGATGAACCCTCACACGGAGAAACACGAGACGAACCAATCCTGGATTCTCCAAGAGTATCGAATCGAGCTCCGCTAAGCCTAGATTTTTCTCTTTGCCAATCTGCTGCACAAACACAGTCTGTGTGAAGTCAATAATATGTTTCACGCGAATGATTTATTTAAGCCCTGGCAGTTGTATCACTGGGCTCACTACGTATCTCAGTTTTCTAAGCAGGCGCCGAGTGTAGATTAGCGCAGGACAACAAACAATGGCTCTCACTCAAATCGTAGGATACGCATATGAATCCTTGAAAAAAAAAAATTTTACCTACTGCAGATATATAAGACTTGCTTGAACACGAACGCAGATAATGTATAGTTTTTAAAATTTGTCAGGAGTGGAGGGATAGTTGATGTTGAATTTTCTGAATATTAAATGTTGCGTAAAAAATTACAAATGCCACGGGAACAAAAAAAATGCCAAATGCTTCATCCTCATCCAGAAAACAACATCGCTCAAGATTCAGTACATCATAATTAAAATGGTCATTCGCATTAGTTAACACGCCATATTGTGTAAAAAGTTTCCCAGACACCACTTGGTGATAGCTGGTTTTGGTTTAGTATTTTGAACAATACCACTGCTCAGTCATTTGCTATTCTATTTTAATATGCTCATTTTATCTGCGTACATTTAATATTAAAGCTTGTCAAGTTTACTAAGAATTAATTACTTTCAATCAAGTTGTTGAAGAATCTCAAATGTAAATTTAAAAAAAGTGGAAACAATTTTTATGAAACTGATCATGTCGAGTCATGGCTTTACAATCCATATATTAGCGGACTAGTGACCCATATCGAGCAACATAGCAGAGCAACAATGTGCTTGGGCTCTCTTGCAAGTTAAGTGCAAGACCAGAACCACAAGGGTGCCGAGTGCCACGGGGGTTTCTCCATGGGAAGAGCAAATGCTCGGCCCCTGGGTAGGCCCCTGGGTAGTAACAAAATTTCAAATGTCCCAACTCTAGGTTACCCAGGGGGAAGGGCACTCCTGGAAAAAAAGCGAGGACTGGTGAGTAAAGGACTGCGCAATAATTACCTGGAGGTGGGGNGGGGGGGGGGGCGCTGGGAAATGGATGAAATATGTCCCAAAACTAGGTCATACCTCCCCTCTCATGAAGCAAAAAATAATTTCACCCCCCTCACATAATGATAATATTAAGGCTACTCCCCCTTGAAAAAAGTCTCCCCCATTGATTCCCGTTGTTGGAGTTCTTCCTCCGTTACAAACATCACTTCAAATTGCTCTTCGCCGTATGTCAAAGAGTCATGTGAAGAGTCACCAGAATTACTGGACTGAGCTTGTGTCGTCTTCGCATGAATTGGGAGATTCCTCATCTTCTGCAGCATCTCTGGCACTAAGGTTCTCGCGTGCGTGGGTGAGAACTCGATCAATCAACTCAGCCTTGCTTCCACTTATCGTAAGACCTTTTTGCTTTGGATACATTTTCAGCTGCTTGTTGGTAAGCGCTTTTACATCTTTTTCGATTGTCCAAGAAATAAGCGGAAGAGTGTTCCAGTTTCTTACTTTTTTTTGGCTTTTGCATCGAGGAACTCAAGCTGCTGTACATAACTTTTACATGCAGTCTCGTCCACGTTGTACTGGGAACATACCTCTTGCAAAGACCGTTCTTTAGATAGGAAAACAATAGTTCATCAGAACGCCTTAGAGTTGATAAATTTGTCAGTTTTATTCCAACGTTAGTTTTTATATTTGAACTCTAGTAACTCTTCCACTACTTTTCTGGTTTGCAAAAAGGAATGAAAAAGAAATGCATCCCCTCTGTATGTATTAAGTTTTACATCCAACCCCCCTCTCTCTTGTTGTCATTTTCTCCTATGCCTCCCTCTAATTTTCCAAGCCCCCCCTCTTCCAGGTAATTATTGCACAGTCCCCAATTTGCTAAAATTCTTCGATGTGACTTCAAAGGCGAAAATCGTACCAATCTACCACCATGAGGAAGAGGAAGAAGGAGGGCAGATACCTCCCAAAGCACTGAGTATTTCTTGGTTATTTCCACTGAACCTGATCTCAAGCTCTGACAGCACCTTGTGGAGGGACGCATAATAAGTGTTAATGCGGTGGTGTGATTCCGGTGTCAGCTGCATTTGTCTTTGCGTATGTTCACCTACAAGGGCTTGAATGCAGTGCGATGTCTTCTGTCTGGGTGCCCTGGCTTCTCGTATTTCAAACTGAGAGTGGGTCAGCCACTTCTTAATTTTCAGACCCACTGCTGATGCTATCTGCCGTACGGCGCTACTGAAATGTTCTTCACTCCGACACCGGCGTAGGGTCTGAATGGTCATTCTGGAGTTTCCACGGGCGGAAATGACGTCAGCCGTATTCCCCTGGAGATATCGGCACAGACTATTAGTGTTATAATAGCTTATAATTATTTTCAATACACAAGGATAAAAATATAAAATGGCGGTAAATTACACAGCTCTGCTCTCAGCGTAGGTTGTCTGATCTTTGTCCGAAGACAGCGTGCGCAGGGCTTTTACAATGAGTTCCATTTGTCCGTATACGGCCTTCACGGCTTCCCACCGGCACGACCAGCGCTTGACACCCGATAACTTTGGCGTCAGTTTCAGACTCTCACCTTCTATGCCTGTGTCGCCAAACAGGGCGTGTCGTTTGGAATTCGTTTCTAACAAGTTGTGCAGAACCTGGATAGTACCCAGAGCGTTACGCAATGGTTTAATCTGTGTCACTGAAGGGCGATATTGAGTACGTGTCCGTAACAGTGGACATAGATACAGAACCGCCGTAGCACTCTTCCATTCTTGTTGAGAGTCCCTTGGGTACATCGTTCATGTTAGCTGCGCCATCGAATGCTTTACCGACAATGTTCTTGAGGTCGAGATTGCATTCAGTGATAGCATATTTCACCAGTTTTATACAGTACCTCGCCTTCGGTTGAGTTCGTGGCCAGAAACCAGTGAATGCTCTTTTCTTCATGCCATTCAGCGCAAAGGACATGAATGAAGTTTCTACAATGCTTAAAAAGTGGGCACTGAGAATGAAAAAATTCCAAATTCTTACAAAATAAAGCTTTTGTCGAGTGAAAATGTCAGACACGAAAAAACAAGGGTTGCATGTTAAGAAAATGCTGACTCGCACTACTTTTGAGTATGGAGTTCTCTTATTGTATATATATATATATTACCAGTGTAGGCGAATCTTTGCTGACGTCATTGTTTACATTTTTCCTCATTAACATACGACTTTGCGCATAGAAGGCATCATGCTAGACACGACTTTACTAGAAAAACGTAAAGAGCTTGTGAAACTTAGTAAGTGGTGAAGTTTTTGGCTCTTTGGGTGTAATATTCGAGGAGAAATTGGCTTTCAAAAACATCAAAATTTCTGTGTGGCAAAAGCGCTAATGAGCTCATACATTCTTTGTAAAATTTCGAGCTTTTTAACCCTCGTCGCACAAAAAGTATTCAATACATCGCGCTCAAATTCCTTGGGACAATTAATCGTGCTGTGCCCTTTCAATATTCAGTATTAATCTCTTTGTAGCTCCATCTGAAACTGTATCGCTTATGATAATGAGGCAAATATTGTAAACAAATATTCTCCTATTGTTATTCTCTGTTTTTAGTGACATTGTAATTTCTTGAAACAAATGGAAACGGTTTAAAAACCCTTTACCCAAATTTCTCTTGTTGCCCAAATTTTGGTGGAGCTGGAGTCATCCAGCAACCCCCCTCCCCGGCCTGTACGGCTATGGGCGAGAGACCCCATTTTGAAAGTTTTATGTTTTTTCAGATTGACACAACTATACTGTGTGACAGAGTTACAGTAGTCATGGGAGCCGTTAGATAAGAGCTTTATATATAGATCATAATACGCTGGACAAAACTGTCCTGGATCGACGTTTTACCACAAAAAATTAAAACAAACAAAGTGACACGACTAATTTTGTGATTGTCTTAAACTCTACTGAATTCCATAAATGGAAAGTTATTTTTATACGGATCACGCAAGAAAGGCTTGCGTTACACCTTATACAAAGTTGGTAACAGAGGCACAAAAGTATGTAAAATCACGTGATTTCTGTGAATTAAGAGTCACATTTAGAGGGGTAACCCGAAAACACTGATCCCCGGTCCACGGACCCCCACTACGGACCGAGTCCGCGGACTACCCCTACGGACCCCGTCTACGGACCAACCCCAAAATAGAATAAAAATGTAATAAATAAAGAATTCACTTACGGGCTGTCTAATAGATTACTCGTATCGGCAAAATTTCGAACGTTACGTTGTGCAAATGTAACAGACTTGCGTTCAGGCTCGGGGGAAAGTTATATCATCACAAACATTGTCATTTTCTTCGCTGTGGTTATATATGAAAGCCAGGGAGGCTCGAAATTTGTGCTTCTCACTTCCCATCCGCCATTTTGTTCAGCCCAATTTCCCGTGACGGTTCGTGAACTCGTTCAAGGCTTCATAATTTGCTCGGCGGAATTACAGTTAAGCAAGCAAACGACCTAAAAACACATCTTCTATAGCCAGACTGAGCCACGAACGAAAGGTAACAACTTTCCTTCTTTTGCCATCGCCATCTCCTCATGCCGAAAACAGCTTTTAGATATTATTTTGGGGGTTTTAACGCTCCCCATTTCACCGACACGAGTAATCTATTAGACAACCCATAAGTGAAATCCTTATTTTTATTCTATTTTGGGGGTGGTCCGTAGGGGAGTCCGTAGGGGTAGTCCACGGACCGGTCCGTAGGATAGTCCGCGGACCCGGTCCGTAGTGGGGGTCCGTGGACCGGGGGTCAGTGTTTTCGGATTACCCCATTTAGAGTGTTGTTTTGCGAAGAAACTCTTCACGTGCTGGTGGAGTTTTGGGCAAGATTTCGACAAGAAAGCATAAGAAAGATTTACAAATTTATTTGGCCACTGAAATACGATATTGATCTTCTTTGAAGTCTTTTAACTGATCTTGCCACTAGACCGGTCTTCCGCCTGTTTTGAATATGGCTGCCTTTAGCTCGCGCTTCGCACAAGCCACAATTGCACAAGATACTACTGTGTTAAAGCGTGATCGGCCGAGAACCTCAAACAGTGCTATTTTTGCTTTTAGGAAAGTTTTCGGACCTTTTTCGGAGCTCACCTAGCCGGAGCTTGCCATTTTCTCACATTTTCTTGCTTGACAGCTTGAAATAACTTTCTTTGGTTTGCCTTGTGGCCTTCAGTGGTAGTAGCATCACAACTTGAATCTTTGCTTCTCTAAACCGCTGATGTATTACAGGATTATAGTGCTGTTTAGATGGATATCGCTCCTTCTTCATAACATCTCGTCTAATTTATGAAAGAATTCCACAAACACGCAACAATGTTCTTCACACAACAACACTGATCTAACACTACCATGTCAATGTAAACTATAACTATTTTTTTTCTCAGAAATCGCGCAATTTTTCCGTACTTTTGTTATTCATTCCGCAAATTTAGATTCTCTGTAACTCAAGTCTTCGTTGCGTGATCGATATGAAAATAAATTTCCTTGCGTGGAATTTAATAAAGTTTAAGACACTCACAAAATTATTTGCATCACTTTGCTTGTTTCAATTTTTTTGTCGTAAAACGTTGATCCAGAACAGTTTTGTCCAGCGTACTAATAAGACACGAATTGACTATAAACATTTAAAGAGTTTTTGAAACTTAGTAATTGGTACAATTTTTGGTTATTTGGGTGAAATACTCGAGGAGAAATTGGATCGTACATTTCTTGTAAACTTTTGATTTTTTAAATACGCGTGGCACAAAGAGTATTCAACACATCGGGCTCAAATTGCTTGAGACAGATGATCGTGCTGTGCCCTTTCAATGTTCAGAACTAATTTTTTGTAGCTCGGTATCGCTTATGCTAATAAGACAAATACTGTGGACAAAGATTCTCCTATATCCAAGCCCCATTATGCTCATAAGTCTTATCCATACCCACAAAGCTAAGATATTTGAACGTTCAGCTCGCTAGTACATCAATACTAGCTAATTACTTAGATATTGT